TTACTATTATTATTATTATTGTTATTGTTATTGTTGTTGTTGTGATGAAAAGTTAACACAAACAATATGGTGGCTAAACGAATATTACATGTAAATATATTGTTTTGTATTTGTTTGTTCCCCGACAAAATGTATCGTCTTCCCCGAAAGGGGGGGCTATAACCGCCCAGCCCCCCCCCCCCCCCCCCCTCTGTCGCCACCACTGCCTTTATTACATCATATTTGTTATAATTATGCTACCTGCCATTATTAACCACTTTTAATTACTATATTGTATCTAATATCATGATTTTGAAACTCTAATCATAGACCTTTTTTGTATGGATTATTATGCTAGTATATACAATCTCGATATTTTGCATTAATGATATTGAAATGTTTTACCATACATCATCATCATCATTATTATTATTATTATTTTTATTATTGTTGTTGTTGTTATTATTACTATTGTTGTTGTTTGTTGTTATTATTATTTTTATTATTATTTAATTATAATAATAATAACAATAATAACAACAATATTATTATTATTATTATTGAAATTTTTTACCATACATCATCATCATTATAATTATTATTATTGTTGTTATTATTATTATTGTTATTATTATTATTATTTAATAATAATAACAACAATATTATTATTATTATTTATTATTATTATTATTATTATTATTATTATTATTACAATTAATTTACAGTTACAATTTAAAGGATGCTCCAGTTCAATCTTTATATAACTTTTATTGCATCCTATTGTTTCTTATTCTATGATTGAATGATTCATAATTCATTCATTGATTATTAAAATGCTGTGTTCAATGTCGTTATTGATGTGGATAATTTTTCTTTTCTTACTTTATTATTACTATTAGTATTACTATATTTATTTTCTTTATCTTTATTATGTCATTTTGCTTAAGTCAGTTATTTATTTATTTATTAATATTTATATAGTAATAATAAAAATATTGTTGATGGTATTAATAAATGTTAATAATGGTATTAATGATATTAATATTTATATAGTAATATTATATATATATATGTCTTTGCTTTTTGTTGATGTTAATAATTATCTTTATCTTTCATTATTTTTACAATTATTATCTTCATTATTTGCTGCGAAGCAGCCAATTCATATTGTTGACAGCAATTTGACCTCTGAAAGGTCATTGTTTTTCAAAAAACAAGGGCCTAAAACGACTGAAAAGCGGAATTTCCTTCTTTCGTTCTGCCGGGTAAAATCAATTACTTCAGGCGACGTTTGTAGATTAACCTACACATACCAACGCCCGCATGTCGCGTCGCTCGAGTATTACTATTCAGCGTTTTTACTATATTTCTAGGTTTCCTATTTCTACGTTTAATCGGTCCATGTCTCAGCCACAATATTTTGAGGCCAA